TCTATCAACGCGCCTTTCTGTGGTTGGGAGGTAGAGATGGAACTGAAGTCATCTTCCCCCATCCTTTGGATGAGTCCGCCATTATGTGCTGTCTGGACAAAAACATGACAATAGGACAATGGGCAGGGCAGAGGGGAATGGGCAAGACTACAGCCCAGCATGAATCAGGAGAGGAGAGAGGATTGAAGTGTTTGGTGGTGGGTGGGGGGGTGCTAACAGAGAGGGATCTAAAGGGTTTCTTGGCTTCTTCGGATTAATCATGGTGTTTGTAGCTGTGTAACATGCAGCTGCCATTATACCTCAGTGCCCTGGTATGTTAATATCAGGTCTCACTCCAATTCCTGCAGTTAGCCAGAAACAGTGTAGGTCAATAAAAACAGCAGGAGGCACTGGTCCAATTTACTGACAGCTGAACCTTGACTTGATTTGTTAATTCACCACTATTCCCCCGGAGAATCAAAGTTGCATTCTTGCAGCTTAGAAACTCAGGGTCAGTCAGTAATTTCTGAAGTAGAAAAAGAGCTGTCGGTGTGAGTTTGAGCCCCTCTCGGAATGAGAAGTGTCAGAAAGTGTGCAGCTTTCTGCCAGATGCTTGTCAATTCTAAACAGCTACGTACCTTCTCCTTTTGTGACACACCGTCCTACTGCTGCCATCATTAAGTTCTTGATCTTCAATCCGGGGTTAACAACATAAAGCAAGTTGTTTAAATGTTAAAACGCATCTGTTGTAATGGATTTGTTTGTTTAAAAGAAGAGGCCCCTTCTGAACTTCAATAATCCTGTCTTGCGACTCAGGATCATTTCCTCCAAGTTTCTCACTTTGACTTCTTCTAACTCTCGTTGGGAATTATTTAAAATTATTATTTCATATGGGCTTTGATGGCAATTGTTATCCATACTGCTGTTTTTGGGGGTGTTGTAGGTAAATCTACAGTGCTATTAGGGATGGAGTACCTGGATTTTTGACCCAGCAACACTGAAGGAACGGTGATATGTTTCCAAGTCAGGATGGTGAGTGGCTTGGAGAGGAACGTCCTTCAAGCTGGTAGAGATTGTGTGTTTGGATTGTGCTGAAGAAGGAGCCTTGGTGAGTTGTTGTAGTGCATCTTGTGTACAGTACACACTGCTGTCACTGTGCTTTGGTGGGAGAGGGAGTGAATATTGAAGGTAGATGAGGTGTCAGTCAAGCAGGCTGCATTGTTCTGGATGGTACAAAAACAAAAACAGACATTGCTGGAAAAGCTCATCAGGTCTGGCAGCATCTGTGGAGAGAGAGCAGAGTTAACATTTCAGGTCCAGTGAACCAACTTCAGAACTGTTGGTAGCTAGGAAAAGCATTGATACTTATGCAGAAGATGGGGAGGCAGGAGTGGGGACAGTAAGTGATATGTAGAGATAGAGCCCAAAAAGAGAGAAAAACAGTTGGATGATAAAGGAGTGGGTAAAGGTCAGTCAGGGGAATGAATAGCTGCTAACGGGGACAATTAGTGGCTGACAATGGGTTGTGTGTGGTAGCAGCACATGTGATGACAAGGCCTGGTGTGTGGGGTTTGGGGTAAGGACATGGTCTCAAGCCCTAAAATTGTTGCACTCAATATTGAGCCCAGAAGGCTGCAGAGTTCCCATGGGGAAAATGAGGTGCTGTTCTTACACTGAGCTTCGCTGGAGTACTGCAGCAAGCCTGAGAAGAACACATTGGCCAGGGAAGAGGGTGGAGTGTTGAACATAGAACATAGAACAATACAGCATAGTACAGGCCCTTCAGCCCATGATGTTGTGCCGACCTACTATCCTATGAAGATCAAACTACCCTGCATACCCTATATTATTCTATCATCCATGTGCCTATCCAAGAGCCACTTAAAAGTCTCTAAAGTATCTGACTCCACTACCACTGCTGGCAGTGCATTCCACACACCCACCGCTCTCTTATTGAAATGGCAGGCAACTGAAGCTCAGGGTCTTTGTTGCGGGCAGAATGTAGGCGTTCTGCATAAGCAGTTATATAGCCTGTGCTTTGTTTCCCCAGTGTAGAGGAGACCACGTTGTGAGCAGCGAGTGCAATAGACCGGAGTCAGCAAAGTGCAGGTAAAGCTCAGCTTCACCTTCAAGATGTGTCTGGAGCCTTGATAGTGAGGAGGGAGGAAGTAAAGGATGATGTTGAGCTTCTTGAGTGTTGTTGGACGCTGCACTCATTCAGGCAATGGAGGAGTATTCCATCACACCCCTGACTTGTCTCTTACGGACAAGGAGACAGGAAGTAATTAGTTCACCTCAGTTTTCCCAGCCTATGAGTTATCAATAGCCAAAGCATATATTTGGCTGGTCCAGTTATGTTTCTGGTCCACGGTGATGTCAATGATGTTGATTCTGATGATTGAATGTCAAGGGATGGCCGTTAAACTTTCTCTTGTTGGATATTGTCCACTAGGGGAGGAGATGGCCTCGTGGTATTATCGCCAGGCTGTTAATCCAGAGACCTAGATTTTGGGGGCCTGTTCTGGGTTCGAATTCCACCACAGCAGATGGTGGAATTTGAATTCAATAAAATATCTGGAATTAAGAATCTAATGATGACCACAAATCCATTATCAATTGTCGGAAAAACCCACCTGGTTCACTAAAGTCCTTTGGGAAAGGAAACTGCCATCCTTACCTGGTCTGGCCTACATGTGACTCCAGACCCAGGGCAATGTGGTTGGCTCTGAACTGCCCCCTGGGTAATTAGGGATGGACAATAAATGCTGCCTACCCAGTGACGCCCTCATCCCATTAATGAATAAAGAAAAAGAACATTTGAGTGACGTAGATGTGAAGTTTTACTTGTGAGACCAAGCCTGAATCTTGTCCAGATGTTGTGGGGTATGAACACAGACTGCTTCAGTATCTGAAGAGTGGCTAATGATGCGGAACATTCTGCATTCATCGGCAAACGTCCCTAATTCTGACCTTGTGATGGAGGGACTTTCCTGAGGATAGCGTAGATCTAGAGGGCTGCCCTGAGGAAATTCAACCCGACTCCCTGAAACTCTCTCCTTAATCCCTGAAACTGATTTTGTCAGTCTCGAAACTTGTTCCCTAATCCTTTTCTGAAGAAGGGTCCTGACCCGAAACGTCAGCTTTCCTGCTTCTCTGATGCTGCCTGGCCTGCTGTGTTCCTCCAGCTCCACACTGTGTTATCACTAATCCTTTGTGATTTTTTTTGTGTGGGTAGCAGTTCTACCTAAATAGAAATTGTTGTTTTTGCTCTTTGTTTTACAAAAGGAACAAGACCAGCAGGTTTGGGTCACCCTGAGGGGTTTAAGAGTAGCCAAATAGACTTGGTATTTTTTTGAAGTGATTGTTAAGGATCTGTCTGCCCATGATGTATTTATACAATTGTGCCGAAAAAATCCAGGTCCATTTGAGAAGGAAGTGGCGGATAGATTGGCTGTTGTTATCATCAAATGAAAAAAAACCCTTCTCTCCTGGTGCCATCTGTTAAATAAATAGGAAAAAATGAAAAAGCCACATTTTTTTCAGGAAGTGTGATACTCGGTCAAAATTCTTCAGAGATTAAAACAATCTCTAGCCATTAAAACACAAGTGTGTCAATTTAATTCATTTCTGCAGAAAGCTTAGAATCGACTAAAGACTCCTCCATTGCATTGTTATAGAATCATAATTTGGAGTCCGTACCTACTTCTAACTGAAAATGTTCAAAGGGTACTGAGGGTAAAAGAAAAGGGAGAGGGATAAAATAAATCAAAGAGGAACAAGCAGGAGATGCCTGGGTGTGGTGTCAAAGATTGGTTAGCTGTATATTTAAATGAGTCTCTGGTGTCTGTGAGAAGGAGATTTTACCAGCACAGACACCTTTAACCAGCTCTTTCAGGCCTTGCAGGCCAATGTTGCTAAAACAGGATATCAGGCCAATATCAACTTGTTTTTGCGTGAGCTTGCTGAGAGGATCGCTGTAATTCCAACATTACAAACAGTGACTAACTTCACAAATACTTCATCGGCTCTGAAACCCTTTAAAACATCCTGAAGTTGTGAAAGAACAAGTGTGAGGGTTTGTTTTTCTTCTCCAGAGAAATGTTGGCTTATTATTAAAATCTTATAGCCCCAAAAGAGACAATTCTGCCCATCACAACAATACCACCCTCTTTGTAGAAACAAACCAATAGCTCCACTCTCTGCTCTTTTCCCAAAGCCCTTCAATTTTCTCCCCTCCAAGTATTTATCCAACTTTTTTTAAAAAAGTCTCTATTGAGTCTGCTCCCACCATGCTCTCAGAAATCACATTCCACACCACAACTCAGTATGTAAACAAAAAACTGCTCCTCATCCTCCTTCCAACTCATTTGCCAGTTACTGAATCTTTATATCTTCTGGTTCACCAACCCTCATGCCTAAGGAGTTAGTTTCTCCTTATGCAAGTTATCAGAACTCTTGTGGTTTTCACAACAGGAGTTGGTTAGCTCAGTTGGCTAGACAGTTAGAGTGTGGTGCAGAATGATGGCAGCACTGTGGGCTCCGTAGAGTAGATGGAATTACATCTTTATTCTATAACTACTGAGCATGTGTAAAAGGAGCTATGTTGTAGTGATGCCACATCACATGGAGCTTGACCCTGGTTCCAAATGATGTCCTCCATTATCATCTTCTGTATATGTTCAGCAAAGCCTGTTATTATTCATTTTCACGAGTTTAGGTCTCAACTTACTGCAGGTTCCATCCTGTACTCACTGTGCTAGAGGGGGAGACTTGCCTCCATCCCTTGCCCTACAATTGATGGAAGGTATCTCCCTTGTCTCAGTCATTTGCCAGAGGGAGATTTCCATTTGGTCCCTTATAGACTTGGGTTAATTTCCTTGGTCTCATGGTAGCCCCCTGGGTGGACTACAAACTGGTAACAGAATTACAAAACAGAGGAAGGAGAGTGAGAGGAAAAGAATGAGGACTGGTTACTTTGCACTAACTGATGTATGCATGTTTATATTTTTCCTATCCTTTAGGTCACATCTGTGAGCGAGATCGGTTGACATTTGCCTTCTGCCAAACCCTTAAGCTCTTGGGCCGGTGCTACCTTCAAACAGTGCAGGCACAATGCTGCCAAACGTGTCGGTCACATGGGGTACGAGACCGTGGCAACGAACGCGTGTCAAGGAGATGAGAAACTGACACCAACACAACAAAAACAAACTTCTAAAAAAAATGCAAGGAAATAAAGAGATTACAGGGACTGAAAGGCACAAAAGCAATTCAGGAAAAAGAGAGATTTGTAAGAAGTTACTTGTTCTATATATATACGTATATATAAGGAAGAATCTTTCTTTCAGTATAAAATAAAAACCGAAAGAACTGCGGATGCTGTAAATTGGGAACAAAAACAGAAGTTGCCGGAAAAGCTCAGCAGGTCTGGTAGCGTCAGTGAAGAAAAATCAAAGTTAACGTTTCGATTCTAGCAACCCTTCCTCAGAACTGTTCTGAGGAAGGGTGACCGGACCCGAAATGTTAATTCTAGTTTTTATTCACGGATGCTGCAATACCCTGCTGAGCTTTTCCGGCAACTTCTGTTTTTGTTCTTTCTTTCAGTGTTCTTGTTTATGCATCCATTTTGACAGGACAACAATCCTAACAGTGTCAGGATTGCTCCACAAGGTCTGAGGCCTAGTGGTTGCTATAGATACATACTGTATTTTCAACTAAGTGGTGCTCCTAATCTTTAAGAATGACACCTCTCCCATTAATAACACAGGCACGTGTCTCCTGAAAGCAGCTTGGCAAGTTCCATTTTTGTGAGTTTTCTTAAAAATTGCAAAAGCTGTATTTAATGGCACAAGTGGTGGGAAGGCAGAAGATGCCAATGTGGTGCTGCTGCGTCGGACCAGCATCCTTTAATCTGTCCTTGGTGTTGCTGCAGGGCAGCACAGAACTTTTACATACTTGAATTTTTTAATCCTATTTTATTTTCATTTTTCAAAAGTCTAGGTGGGAGATTATGTGTCATTCTGACTAATGTACAATGTGGAGGGGCTGGAGTCATGGTGCTAATTGTCATTAAAAACAGTTGTACAGCAAATTGTAAGGTGCTGCCGAACAATACAATATGATACACACAGGTCATGTTCCTTCTATTGAATGTGTGGGTGGATGTAGCATTGGCAATATTAAGTGAAGAGATTTGCGGTATTATAGTCACATACAATACCTGTCAATGTCATTTAAGCCTCCACTATGGATTCTCTACAGGATTGTACAAAATGACATTTTTCTCTAAACATTATGTCAGGTTACCACCTCATTCCTTGGTTTCAGTCTGCCTGTGTAACATCCTATCACGAAATTGCTGCTGTCTGAGCTTGCCTCTCTTAGATTTTTTTTCCCAAAGTAATTAAATTGCCATTTGACATTGTCTGCCTCCTCTCCCATATCTGTGTCACAGGCAGTGTTCTGAGCTCAGTCAGCAACAGTCTTTCCAGAATGTAGTCTTTACTGAAGTGCCTCTCAGCTGGCTGCCTGTTGTGTTTGTCCCCTGTGGTAGAGGTCAAATGACCCTGGCAGATCAGGAAGGACATTTGTACGTGACTGTATTTCAAACCAACAGGGATAACAGCAGAAAGAAATCAGAGTTAATATATTGTAGCCCTGTCTCTAAGACAGAGTCCACCTTCCTCCCTCTTGAGAGTATAAGATATTGTTTATAGTGGAAATAAGTGAAGTTATCTACTTTGGTGGAACAAAGAAATTCAGAGTGTTTCTGAAACGGTGAGAGACTGGGAGGTGTTGAGGTCTGAAAGCATCTTGGTGTCATTGCTCCTGAGTCACTGAAAGCCAGTACACAGCTACAGCAAGCAATTTGCAAAGCAAATGGTGGATTGGCCAGATATCACAAAAGGATTTTTAGTAATTGGGAGTTAGTCAGCCATCCAGATGTGGCTGATTGAATTTTGATCATGTCTCTGTCCCAACTCAGGAACCCCTGAACCTTTGGTCCACTAAAGACCACCTGCATGTGTATGGAGCGAGAATACAGTAGGTCACAGACAGACCCCTCAGCCTTGAGGAGCTGTCACTGAGCAGGGACTTCAAACACAAAGGATTTTTCGATGTAGTTGACTCTTGAGGACCCTAGACAATGTTTGAGAGTGTGTAATGACAGGAACCTGACTGAAGGACAAGGCTGAGCAGATTATATGCATGAGGTAAACTCTGAATTAGCATTAGTGCCTAGAACCATCTTGTAGTATGCAAGAGATTTAGTATGGGAGTAAAGAAGTCTTGTTACAGCTGTATGAAACCTTGGTGAGACCACACCAGGAGTACTGTGTACTGTTTTGACCTACTTTCCTAAGGACAAATATTCTTGCCATCAAGGGAGTGCAGCAAAGGTACACTGGACCAGTTCCTGGGTTAATGGAATTGTCTGTGAGGAAGGATTGAGATGACTGGGTCTGTATTCTCTAGAGTTTAGAAGAATGAGAGGTGATCTCATAGAAACGTATAAAACTCTTACAGCACTCAACAGGGTAGAAGCGGGAGGGATGTTTCCCTTTGCTTGGTGGGCGGGGGGCAGGGGAATGTTGTTCCAGAGTCATGGGTGTGGTCTGAGAATAAGGAGGTAGGCATTTAGGGCTAAGAGGCAAAGGAATTTCTAAACTCAGACGGCAGTGAATCTTTGGAATTCTCTACCTCAGAGGGTTGTGGATGTTCAGTAATTGAGTATGTCCAGGATAGAAATCGATAGATGTTTCGATAATAAAGACACCAAGGGATATCCGGTGATGGTATGGGAAAGTTGCATGGAGGTAGAAGAACAGCCATGATCTAGTTGAATGGCAGCGCCAGCTTGATGGGCCAAATGACCTGCTCCACGTTCCTACATTGCTATGATCTGATCTATCATGTGCTTCAGGTTTTGGCCCCTTGACTTCCTCTCTTGCATACTACAAGATGGTTCTAGGCACTAATGCTAATTCAGAGTTTACCTCATGCATATAATCTGCTCAGCCTTGTCCTTCAGTCAGGTTCCTGTCATTACACACTCTCAAACATTGTCTAGGGTCCTCAAGAGTCAACTACATCGAAAAATCCTTTGTGTTTGAAGTCCCTGCTCAGTGACAGCTCCTCAAGGCTGAGGGGTCTGTCTGTGACCTACTGTATTCTCGCTCCATACACATGCAGGTGGTCTTTAGTGGACCAAAGGTTCAGGGGTTCCTGAGTTGGGACAGAGACATGATCAAAATTCAATCAGCCACATCTGGATGGCTGACTAACTCCCAATTACTAAAAACCTGCCCACTGCTTGTCCTGGAGGCAATTACTCTCTCTTTCCATTGATTGTTGTCACTCTGTATATCACAACAGCACCAGCTCTTTCTGTGAGGCACACAATCTCAGTTTTGTGTAAATCTGTGACTTTAGCTAAATTAACACCTGCATTGTGGCTCCTGAGAATTTCTGCAGCACCACATAGTTTCTCTGACGTGCCAACTGCCCAGAAACTGCACATCTCTGGACAGAATGGAGTTTGGAGCTGGGAATTCATTATGGATTAGGTTAGTGCAATACATCACTCTCGACAAAGATTGCAATAATTCAAGTAGTATGCAAATGGGGACAGCTATTAGCAAGGCTGGAGAAGCTGGGAGTATGTTCCAGTGTTTAAAACTCAGCTAGATTAAGACAAAATGTATCATTGTCCTGGTTAGTGACACTGGCCACATCACAAGCAGCTGTTACTCACTGTGAGGTGTGACTGTGCTTCGAGTGGGAATTCTCACCTCAGTAATCACTGAGTATGTGGCTGTCGTGGTCTATTACGTTACAGTATTAACACAAAGATAAGAAACATGGACCATAGATTATAAACTGAATGATGAAACGTTCTCGAGCATGGAGACAATCTGTTGCTGTAATTAAAATAGACTTCTCTCCTTTCTCCGTACAATTAAACTGGACTCTTTCACCTGTGGCATCTAATTCCAAAGTCAGACCTGATTAATGAGGTGAAATATTCTATCTGCATTCTCCTTCTGCTCCCATTGTGGATCGATCTATCTATCTATCTGTCTATCTCTGCCATTTCCAAACAGAGAAGCAGTACCAAGCAGATAGAATCCCAGTTTTCAGGGGAACAAGCTGATTGAGCAGACTGCCCTGAAGTGAGCAGAGACTACAGACTCAATCAGAGGGCCCACAAGCCTGGCCTTCGTGTGCAATCCAAGAGTGTTCCTCCGAATTTTTGTTTAAGATGCAAGTTGTAAGAAGAGGAGGTTGCCCTGACCTGTGCCGTACCTGATCGGGAAATATTTGATGCTGGCACTGAATGTAAACTTAAATGGATCACAGTTTTCTTTTTCCCCAGCACTGATAGCTGCATGAAAGCCTCTTCAATCCCCAGAATAAATACATCACACTTCCTCTGTCGTTACTGATAGTATTTGGAAAGAAGTTTTACATTTGGGTTACACAGTTATTACTCTGAAGTAAGTTCAGACTTGGCTGTATATTTTAAAAATGTTAGGCCCAGCTGAACCGTTCAATATTCAGGCAATTTTGCTATATTTATGGTACTTTTTGAAAACTTGTATTTATCAAATGCTCTGACTGCAATATCTTATTCAGTTGATGACAGGATTTTATAGCAAGGGTTTTGTTTATATTCTGGTTTCTTCCCCATTATGACAATTAATATTGATTGTTGTAAAATTTCATCCAGTTCATTGCAGGTAAAATCCTGCGGGTTCTGGAAATGTGACACAAACACAGAGAATCCTGGAAAAACTCAGCAGCTCTGGCAACATCTGGGAAGAGAGAGAAACGGAGTTAACACCTAGAGTCTTCCAAAGAGAAGTCATATTAGACTTGAAATGTTAAGTCTCTTTCTATAAGTCCTGATGAAGGTTCCTGACCCAAAACATTGACTTTCCTGCTCCTCTGATGCTGCCAGACCTGCTGTGTTCCTCCAGCTCCAACACTGTATTGACTCAGACTCCATCATCTGCAGTTCTTGCTATCTCTTTCTCTCTGGCAGCTGAGTTTCTCCAGTAATTCTCTGTGTTTGCTACATTCAGTTCATGAAAATTGTTCGGGGAAGGAAATCTGCCGTTCTTGCCAAGTCTGACCTCCAGGTGACTCCAGACTCTCAGAAATGCAGTTGACTCCAAAATGTCCCAGCAAGTTGCTAAGTTCAAGGGGCAGTTAGGGATGGGAAAAACACTCACAACAAATGAAAGAGAGAGATGGCACCATTATTCAACCAATAAGCTGCCTACCCTCATTAAACCTCAAGCTAGGTGGTTGGAAGTTTGACAAACTCCTTCTGAGCACGTTATTCAGCAATTGGTGTTTTTTTCTGCCCTTCAGTTACAAAGTCAGAGGTTTTGTGACTAATATAAAACATCCTAATGGCTT